ATTTTAAACCAATATGACAAAGTCCACATTAAATACATGACTGAGGTTGCATCTGCAAGTTCACTGATGACACCACCGTAGTGGGACAGATATCTAACAATGATGAGTCAAAATACAGAAGGGAGATAGAGGGCTTGGTGACGTGATGCAATGAAAACAATCTGTCTCTCAACATCGGCAAAACTAAAGAACTGATCGTTGACTTCAGAAAGAAAGGAGGAGCACACGCTCCCATCTACATTAAAGGAACTGAGGTTGAGAGAGTGAACAGCATCAAGGTCCTCGGAGTGACGATAACCGACCACCTGTCCTGGACTTCCCATGTAAATAAGACAGTCGAGAAGGCACAACAACGCCTCTTCTTCCTCAGGCGGCTCAGGAAATTTGGCATGTCCATAAGGTCCCTCACCAACTTCTACAGGTGCACCATTGAAAGTATACTGTCCGGGTGCATATTGGCCTGGTATGGCAACTGCTCTGCCCAGGACCATAAGAAACTGCATAAGGTGGTGCGCGCAGCCCACACCATCACAGAAGCCAACCTCCCATCCATGGACACTATTTACAAGGCTAGCTGCTGTGGAAAGGTGGCAAACATCATCAAAGACACATTGCACCCTGGTAGTGACCTCCTACAACCTCTTCCGTCAGGCAGAAGATACAGAAGCCTGAACACATGCACAAGCAGGTTCAGAAACAGCTTCTTTCCCGCTCTCAGACTGTTGAATGGACTTGAGCCTCAAATAATGCAACCTGCAATATAATCTGTATGCCTCTAAGTCTTTTTGATCTGTACATCCTTTGCTTGCTATGATCTGCCTACACCACTCACAAACAAAGCTTTTCACTGTATTTCAGTACACGAGACAATAAAAATCAGTCTGTCAGTTAGCAGAATGAGCCATTATCTGAATACTATATGCCTGAAGCAAAACACACTGACCCAGATCAGTAGACTACTGTTCATTGTCAGGTTCTAAGTGCATTTTATAACCAGAAGTTCAAAGTTAAGGGTTTAAAGTATGAAAAGCAAGATAAACAAATGTTCACAAACACAAAGCTGATAGATTTTGTTTAAAGTATATAATAATCTATAAATGATAAAGAACTTTTGCAAAGAACACTGCCGAAAATGGCAACAGCTCTTTGCTTCCTGTTTGCTTTGAGAAGCTACCAATCTAGCCAGATTACTGATATATGCAAATCAGTGGATTTTAAATTGACTATATTCTACAATATTTTGAATCCAATACAATTGCAATCATTAATTCAGCAATTAATAGCCAACCATTAATGTATATAAACATCATTTCAGTGATCCCAAAAATCTCAGAATTATGAGCATAGCCTCATGTGATTATTAGTTTCCCTACACAATATGCGTCAGAAACTGGCAGAATTAAAAACAGCATGCACAGTACCCTTGATTATTCATTTGGATGCAAAAACCTCCAGCATTTCTGGAGGCTAGCTTTCGGCCAATTAGAGGGAAGCCTAAATTTATCTAGCTTGTTTAATAGGCAAAATCATAGACCGTACTTCTTTTCATTCACTCATGGAATGTGGAAGTCACTGGTTGGGCCAGCCTTTATTATCCATTCCTAGTTGCCCCTGAGAAGGGAGTGATGCACTGGGTTCTTGAACTGCTGTAGCTCATTTCGTGTAGGTACATACTCTCGGCTGCTAGAGTAAGAATTCCATGAATTTGACCGAGTGACATTGAACATAAGAACATAAGAACTAGGAGCAGGAGTAGGCCATCTGGCCCTTGAAGCCTGCCCCGCCATTTAATAAGATCATGGCTGATCTTTTCGAGACTCAGCTCCACTTACCCGCCCACTCACCATAGCCCTTAATTCCTTTACTGTTCAAAAATTTATCTAGCCTTGCCTTAAAAACATTCAGTGAGGTAGCTTCAACCGCTTCACTGGGCAGGGAATTCCACAGATTCACAATCCTTTGGTGAAGAACTTCCTCCTGACCTCAGTCCTACATCTGCTTCCCTTTATTTTGAGGCGATGCCCCCTAGTCCTAGTTTCACCTGCTAGCGGAAACAACCTCCTTGCCTCCACTTTATCTATTCCCTTCATAATCTTATATGTTTCGATAAGATCTCCCCTCAATCTTCTGAATTTCAATGAGTATAATCCCAGTCTACTCAGTCTCTCCTCATAATCCAACCCTCTCAACTCTGGAATCAACAAAGGGAGAAATAGCAGGTGCAATGGCGGTAATTTTCCAAAATTTGCTGGATTCTGGGGCAGTCCCAGCAGATTGGAAAACAGCAAATGTGACGCCACTGTTTAAAAAGGGAAGTAGACAAAAGATGGGGAATTATAGATCGGTTAGCTTAACCTCTGTGGTGGGGAAGATGCTTGAGTCTATTATCAAGGAAGAAATAGCAAGGCATCTTGATAGAAATTGTCCCGTTGGGCAGATGCAGCATGGGTTCATGAAGGGCAGGTCATGCTTGACAAATCTTTTGGAATTCTATGAAGACATTACGAGCAAGGTGGACAATGGGGACCGAGTGGATGTGGTGTACCTAGATTCCCAAAAGGCCTTCGACAAGGTGCTGCACAAGAGGCTACGGCATAAGATAAGGATGCATGGCGTTAAGGGTAAAGTATTAGCATGGATAGAGGATTGGTTGACTAACAGGAAGCAAAGAGTGGGGATAAGTGAGTGCTATTCTAGCTGGCAGTCAGTGACTAGTGGTGTGCCTCAGGGATCGGTGTTGGGACCGCAATTACTTACAATTTATATAGATGATTTGGAGTTGGGGACCACATGTAGGGTGTCAAAGTTTGCAGATGACACTAAGAGGAGTGGCAGAGCAAAGTGTGCAGAGGACTGTGAAACTTTGCAGAGGAACATAGATACATTGAGTGAGTGGGCAAAGGTCTGGCAGATGGAATACAATGTAAATAAATGTGAAGTCATACATTTTGGTAGGAGTAATAGTAAAAAGGATTATTACTTGAATGGTAAAAAGTTTCAGCATGCTGCTATGCAGAGGGACCTGGGTGTCCTTGTGGATAAATCACAGAAGGTAGGTTTGCAGGTACAACAAGTAATTAGGAAGGCAAATGGACTTTTGTCCTTCATTTCTAAAGGGATTGAGATTAAAAGCAGAGAGGTTGTGTTGCAGCTGTACAAGGTGCTGGTGAGGCCACACCTGGAGTACTGTGTGCAGTTTTGGTCTCCTTACTTGAGAAAGGATGTACTGGCACTGGAGGGGGTGCAAAGGAGGTTCATAGGTTGATTCCAGAGTTGAGGGGGTTGTCTTATGAGGAGAGACTGAGTAGTTTGGGATTATATTCATTGGAATTCAGAAGATTGAGCGGGGATCTTATAGAAACATATAAAATTATGAAGGGAATAGATAAGATAGAAGTAGAGAGGATGTTTCCACTGGCAGGTGAAGCTAGGACAAGAGGGCATAGCCTCAAGATTAGAGGGAGCAGATTTAGGACTGAATTGAGAAGGAACTTCTTCACCCAGAGGGTTGTTAATCTATGGAATTCCTTGCCCAGTGGAGTAGTTGACGCTACTTCAGTAAACGTTTTTAAAGATAAGGTAGATTTTTTTTTAACAATAAAGGAATTAAGGGATATGGTGAGAACGTGGGTAAGTGGATCTGAGTCCATGAAAAGATCAGCCATGATCTTATTGAATGGCGGAGCAGGCTCGAAGGGCCGAACGGCCTACTCCTGCTCCTAGTTCTCATGTTCTTATGAGTGGCAATATATTTCCAAGTCAGGATGGTAAATGACTTAGAGGGGAATGGCAAGTTGTGGTAGTCCCATTTATCGACTGCTTGTTTCTTTCTAGGTGGTAGTAAATGTATTTGAAAGATGCTGCCTAGGGATCCTTGGTGAATTTCTGCGGTGCAAATGCAGCCACAGTGTATTGCTAGGAGAAGGAATGAATTTTTATTGCTGTCATATCAATCAAGTGGCCTGCTATTTTTCTGGATGGTGTCAAGCTTCTTGAGCTTTGCTGGAGCTGCACTCATCCAGGAAAGTAGAGAAATCAGTCTCTGATTTGCTTGTGTTGCCTCTGTATTCATGTGACTAGTGAAGTTCACTTTCTCGTCAATGGTAACAATGAGGATTTGATAGTGGGAGATTCGGCAATTGTAACACCATTGAATTTCAATGGACGATGGTTAGATTCCTTCCTATTGCAGATTGTTATTGCCTGGTACTACTGGAGCATGAATGATACTTGCCACCCATCAGCTCAGGCCCAGACACTGTCTAGGTCTTGCTTCATTTGAACAGGGACTGCTTCAATATCTGTAGAATTGTGCTGAACATAGTGCAATTATCACTGAACATCCCCATTTCTGACCATGTGATGGTGGAAATGGCCTAAGACACAACCCTGAGATACACCTGCAGTGATGCCCTCAAGCTGAGATAACTGACCTCCAACAACCACAACCATCTTCTGTTGTGCTAGCAATGACTTCAACAAGCACAGTTTCCCCCTTGATTTCCACTTGGTCAAATGTGGCCTTGATGTTAAGGGCAGTCACCTCATCTCTGGAATGGAGCTCATTCATCCAGTCTTGGATGAAAATTGTAATGGAGTTCAGGAACTGAGTAGTCCTGGCAGAACCCAAGCTGATCATCAATGAACAAGCACACAATGTGCAGTTGGATACCACTGTTGATGACACCTTCCATTACTTTACTGTTGATGAAGAGCAAACTGATGGGGAGTACTTGACCAGATTAGATACGTCCTGCCATTGCGTGATATTTGGCACTAGACTTACATACGCTTCATTATACTTCCATTAAATGAGTTCATACTCTTTACAATCCCTCCCGATACTCTGAGGTAAATTTACCATGGTCCCTCCACATCTAACCTCTTTTGAGGCCATTGGGTCTTGCTAAGTACACTAAACACAAAAGTGCAGTTAGAACATAAAATTATAAAATTAATGGCATTTGGCTTCAAAATGAAAAACTGCTTTCAATGCTTACCTATGTTCCAATGCCGTATACTTGAGTAATTCTGCAAGTTGTAGTGGATATTTGCAGATCTTCTGCACAGGCGTGAGGAGAAAGCCATCGATGGCAATGTCAATCATTTGCTGAAGGAGTCGACAAGCCTCAAAAAAATGCTGATACCTGCCATCTTTCATCAGCTTGGAAAGTTCCATGCAAGCATCCAGGTGATTATTACAGTACTCAGAATAAATCCAAAATCCATCTTGCTGTAAAAGAATACAACAAATACATGTCAATATCAGATGTTTAGGAAAAGTCAACTATTCAACTTTCTGAACTGACTAACTAATAAATCAGAGTGGGCAACAAAGATAATGGTTGGGGGGTGGATGGGCACTACATTCATAAAATCTTTAACAGTAGATTGTAATTATTTGCATCTAATCTTTTATATTTAGGCAAATCTTTAAGAGAATTGCTTCCACGTTGCCATGGTTTGGTTGAAGCTCTCTTACCCTTTACTCAGCACATTCAATTCTGCAGGGACTGACATTTCATTGCAGTGCTGAGAATATGCTGCATTTTTGCAGATGTTGTCTAATGGATGTGATGTTAAACCCGGAACCATCTGTCCTCTAAAGTGGATACAAAAGATTCTACGGTAGAATTGGAGCAGATGGAGTTACCATGGTGCTCTGGTCAATATTTGACCCCCAGCCAATATCACTAAGACAGATAACCTGGTCCTGTTTTACTATGAACCAACAGGTGCAGTGTTGCACTATAAGTGACTACACTTCAGAACAACTTCATTGACTGTTGAGTATTTTATGACATTGTGAATCCATGAAAGGGAAAAGTTCTTTCTTTATTTGTATTCAAAATATAGATGCCCAGCAGACATTCCAACAACTTTAGCCAAAGTCCCTGAACTGTTTCTTTTCATTCTTTGAGTTGCGAATTGTTTTCAGTTTAGATTATTCAGCTATATAATATTATGGGCCAAATATTCACGTTTTGCACTTAGGTGTAATTTATCACTTGACAGAGCACATAAAGGAACTTCAAGTGGAGAGCTCATATATTTGTAGCAGAGTCATCCAATTTTCTAACCATGTCAATTACTGGGCAACAAATTATACAGTCTTTCTTAGAGATGTACAATCCTTTGGGCTTGTTTTCCCTTGTTAAAATATATTTTTAAGTTTATCTTAGTTTCCATTTATAAAACAAAATCAATACCAAGAGGATTAGACATAGGTTCAGGATTGCTATTAGAACAAATAGAAAATATTTGTCATACACAGAGTTTTAAATAGATTGTTTTAATGCATGCAGAAATTCAGTCTATAACATGATGGAAAGTTAAGTATTTGAAAAGAAAGAATATAAATCGATACAAAAACGGTGCAGAAAAACAGGCATAGAATGAATAGGTCCAATTAAAAAATCAGAATCAATTTTGATTCTTTTTGTGTAATGATTGTCTTTTGCGTTATATTTTTATGCTTCAGTAATATTGTTTTTTTTAAAATGGCAGAATAATTTAAAGGAAAGATGTTCATACGATAACACCACTAATGCACAAGTAAGGGCAACAAAGTTAAAATATGCTTGGGGTCGAAATTGTGATGTGCAATATTGCTAATGAACCCATTCATTTGAAATTCCTCTATCCACTATTTTAATGAAGGCCCATTAAGGGAGTTAATGCTTTCATTAAAATAGTAGACAGAGAAATTTCATATGTATTAGCTGCTAATAAAGCGCACCACAACTTCAACACCCCTGTGAACCTTTTTTTTTACAGGAGCAGCATAGCAGGTCAGCACAGAGGAACACATGAATCACACGCAGAAATGAAAATTATGAAAATAATAATCTAATCTAACAGGATTATAATTTACATGCTCCAGGAAGCAGGGTCCAATTTCACTCAGATGAGGATCCTCTTTGTTGTACTGCTTCTCCAGGTCTCTGACAAAACTCATTTGAAATCTATAAATGTCTTCAATATTTCCGAATATGACTTTCAATTGCTCATCACTGAACATGTCCCTGCGTTTCTTGCATTGCCTAAGGTAACCCTAAATAAACAAAAAAATAGTTTAGCTGCCTGTGGTAAACTTCATTTACAGCAGCAAATATAACAATAACATTTAATAATTAGTAGCAAGTTTGATATTTAATTTCTATTGACCTGTTTTCTCCTCATCCAAGTAGTTTTACCTTGAATGAATAATTTGGGGAAATGTTAATAAGTTGAATCTGATATGCAATAACTTGAAAGGTGGTATAATGGTAAATTTACAGGTACTACATGCTCCTTGTAACGTATTTGGTTGTGGGCCAAACAAATTCTGCAATTTCATTCAAGTCATGGATAAAGGAAATTTGGAATGTACTTTAATGCTGATGCATTTTTTGTCACTGTGATTTAATACAGTCTAAGAGGCTCCAAATTGTTCTCTTTTCTCAGTAAACATCTGTTATAATGGACTGAACATACACTATACCATATAAATGAAATCTTAACAAAGATGTTTGGGCTACTTGCAGAGGAATTCTTACTCTCATCAGTCAAACAGAAATCCAAATGCATTAATCTGCATATAGTCTATGATATGTCTGATCTGGACATGGTTGACACTAAATGTCCCCATTTTCAGTTAAAGTGTTTTGTTGGAGCATCCTGTTGTAGGACAGGCAGAAACACCCAGCACTACTGGGGTCTTCCAACTTCACGCTGCTGACATGATACGAACAGCCCAGCTGCAAATGATTTCAGATACAAGCAAGGAACTGCCCCTCACACTGTGGTGTTCCAGCATTCTTACAAATACATGGGCCACAGAAAAGCAAAGTTCATTCCTCAGATATGGATAAGGACCTGTAAATGTTGGTGACTGCAGTGGTGGAGAGAAAGGCAGTCTTTTCTTCTGCAGATCACCAAAGGACGCCACATCATCATACTAAGTGAACCCAGAAATGGACTCAGATAGTGGCCTGGGTCAGTGAGGTGATCCAAGTGAAGCATAAAGCTCAGCAGGACAGGAAGAAAGTCAATGATCTCCTGTGCAGTGCAAGGGTAAGTGTTACCATCTTCTTTCTGCAACCTCACATTCACAGGGCACCACTTACACAAACTTTTCTCCTGCACACACATCTCACCAAGGCTCATGGGCAACAACTCTCACTGTTGCATCATATCCATTTAATGGCTCTCATCCAACCCATCATTCCAAACTACTAACTATTGCTGCCCTCTGCACTTCCTACTCAATCGCTGGAGACACCTCACTACCTCACCTGCTCCAGCATCATCACTAACTACTCTTCCATCCACTTTCATAATACCCAATCCCTTCTTTTGTCTCACTGTAGTTCAATCACCGCAAAACTAAGCTTGCGATGTCGATGAGCATCAGGGTTATCGGTCCTTATGAGGAAAAAGTACCTAATCTAGCTGGAGAACACTGTGACTACAGGGAGAGGTCAAAGGCCAACCAGTCCACTAAGCATCATTGTGCAGTTGTGTGCTCATCTCCTATTATCACCAACATGTATTCTTAATCTAGGTAACTTATTTTTTCTTCTTAGACAACTCATGTCCTCTCATCTCTTAGATAGACACTCATGGCAAGAAGAGGCCAGTGACAGAGACTCTCTTCTCCACATTCACCTCTGACATCTCTGAATCCTCTGAGGATGCACTGGCAAGACTGTCACCTGCAGCTCACAAGCTCACACCTTGGGGTTTCGCTTTCTAGGTCACATCCAGGAACACAATCTGGTGAGCACATCACTGAGACATCTTTGCAGTGGAAAAAAACACTCCAGATCTCTGGCACTCAGAAGATTTCTGAAAAACAGGTAACTCTGTCACCTGGACAGAAGATGATCCCATGATTTTGGTGATTAATGACTTTGTAAAAATACATGAATAGGTGCAGGGATAGCAGGCAGGTTTGTCAGAGATAACTGGTAAACTGGACTGAAGGTTGGAGGAGTCCACCAATGTTATCAGTAGCACCTCTGTAGGCTTGCAATTGGCCGTTTACTTCACTATGGAGATCCAGGTCCAGCACACTCAGGGTCTGATGGATATGCACATGGACTTGCTCTGAATTGCTCTAGTCATAGGTGTTCACTATCAATGGGATAAAGCTGAGAGAAGAATGAGGGACCTTGACCTCACTCCAGGTGCCCCTTCCTCCCAGGAAGGCAGCATAGTGCCAGCAGGCACACAGAGGGAAGAGGAGCCATGCTCAGGACCCACAGAATCCTCTTCTACGGACACTCCAGAGGTGTCAAGCCCCTCCACCTCTGGCTGCCTACAATGCTGAAGTCTACAGAATTTCAAATCGATGAGGGTGAGCCTACACCCGGGCAGGGCATTCCCAGCAGATATCTCGAGCCCAAAAACACCAGGGATGACTGCACTAGTCTTTCAAGGCAACTGGGTCAATCACAGAGCAGGCTCTCTCCACCCCAGTTTGCAAAATTCAGGACTGCATGTAGACATCGAAGCAACATAAAGGAAGCAGGAAAAACTTCCTAAGGGTACAAATTTGGGAGAGATGGAACATCATTATAAATACATGCTCGCTTGCACTCTTGAAAAGAGTCCTTTGTATCATTTTTACCATCAGACCTGGTTAAGTCACACGCAGGTAAGGGATGAGCAGTCTCTTCAGATATGCTAAGGATGAAAGAAGTTGTAATGACCAAGCATTACTCATCTCTCATAAGCTGCAAAGAAGCTGAGATGTCAAGGGTCCTTGAACCATGATGCTGATGGTCATTGCAAAGACATTACATGTTAATGTGGATAACACTGGAGCTAAATGAAATGCACAGGGAAAATGCTAGTGCCTGGCCAGCACACATCACTCCACACTTACACCCACCTTGTGAGCAAGAGTACGGAATCACTGATGATTCCACACATCTTTGAAGGGAAGATTTCCTTCTATCTTTCAGCTTTCCAAGGGAGCATCTTAAAATTTAAGGCTGGGAGATGTACAATGTGCAGCTCATGTATCCACTCTCCCTCACATCGCATTGGTATGCTGAGGAAAACGGCATAAAGTATCATCTCTCGCAGGTTCAATGCTATCCTATAGGATGCTCAAGCATTTCAGGGAAATTTAGCATTTCACACACACTGTGAAATATTAGGGTCTTATTCAGCCTTCACAAGTGTTTACGTCCACTCTATCAAATTGTACAAGTTCAGACCCTTGCAGGAGCCAAAATCTGGTCTGTTTGAACTCAGCAGCAAGTTCAAGTGGCCCTACTGAGTTTGGATTTCCCTCCTTTGTGCATGATGTCCAACCCTCTTCCCCTGCTGTCAAAATGTGATTTCTTGCAATGGTGGTGGGACTTCCACATCCAGGTCCCACCCATTATTTTTAAAGGTCCACAGTGTCTTCCTATCACCTTGAAAATCAAACCTAAATTTATTTTTGAGCTTTTGCATGTTAATTTGATAATTGACCCAATTTGAGTTTTATTTATAAAATGGAGCATATTCCTCACTCAATATTCCATTCCTCATTACAATAAAAATAAGCATGATTTAAAAGTCACCACCTTGACCATATTGACAATCAGGCAGATATTTTGGAATACTATAATTAACAAAAGCATATATGCGCACGAGTTAAATTATCACTGAATAGAAATCAAAAAGCCCACTGGTTCTAAAGCCAACTTTAACAATACAAATGTTACTATTACAATACTTATTCACACTGCAACTTTAAATCCAAGTAATTCTAGTCCATACAAATTGAGGAATCCAAAGAATCACCTAATTAAATGGTTTATTTTCTAAGGGATGGACTGAGGCAGTTACAGGTAAACACATATCCTCTGTCTTTTAACTCTCAGAGGTAAAAAACAATCACTTCATGCATAATGTAATATTGACTTAAACCATGAGACTTTCACCTACCTTCACATTAATATCATTAAATCGTTATACCTGGAATGCTCTTCATTGGAAGATTACTTAGATGAGAATGTATTACCTTTTAATGAGTAACCTGATGCTTTACTGTATTGCATCTCGAGGTTTTAGCTGCAGACACATAATTTATTAATATTTAAGTAGTCTGTAGCCCTTTGTGATATTTTGCAGTGTAGGTCTGAATTTTTCCAAGAACAAATGTCTAACAATTACTCAGAGTATCTCAGAGCTCTTTCATGAAATTTACATCATTAGCATGAGGGAACTCAAAACTGTTATGTTATTATTACCTCACAGATGTCCTTCAGATGTTTAATGTAGTGTCGTTCTGTGCTCATAATTTCATTGATGACATTTGCTCTCATCTGGTCTCTGTTCTGAACACTCCTGCCAAGGCACAGGCAGTCAGAGTTTGGGTCCAGATGTCCATTTTGAATTTCACTACTGGCTTCATCTACAGTGTCTTCCTGGTTCACCCAAAGCTACCATTGAACAAAGAAACACACAGTATGAATAATTGACTGATATTATTGTGTAACAGGTTACTGATGGTATTTGAACATTTTTAGGAGAAAATATTTCAAATAGTTAACTTGTTTTGTTCACCTTACCTAATGAGGGACATATTTGCATTGGATGCAGGTCAGAGAAAGTTCACCTGGGCTGATTCCTGGGATTAAAGTGTCTTATGAGAAACATTCAAACTTGTTGAGTCTATATTCATTAGCATTTAGAAGAATGAGATGTGATCTTACCAAAATATGTAAGATCTGAGTGGACTTGACAAGGTAGATGTTGAATAGGTGTTTGTCCTCATTTTGTGTAATTTAGTGCTAAGTGGCACAGTTTCAAAAGCGGTCTTGTATTTAAGATAGAGATGAGGAGATAAGAAGAGGAAAAAAAATGATTTCTCAGGGGGTTTCTGGTCTGTGGAATACTCATCCACAAAGAACAATGAATGTTGGGGCATTAAATATATGCTAAGTTGCCCAGTGTCCAGGGATTTGCAACCTAGGTGGATTAGCCATGGTAAATGCAGGGTTACAGGGTTAGGGAGGAGGTGGAATGCTGTTCAGAGGGGTGGTGTGGACTCGATGGGTCAAATGGCCTGCTTCATATCATATCATTATAGTTGATTAGATAACATTCAAGTAGCGAACAGCAACCACAAGCTGAAGTTTTATGTCAACATTTATTAAGGGCAAAAGACGCAAGTCTTAACGAGTTAATTGACCAAACTGATGTGGAAAACATTACATACTTGTGATGTTTGCCAATTGTCAAACTGATCATTTTCTGGGGACTGGATAGTGTTGAGTGTAAAATAAATAGCTTCTTTGTATGGAAAACATGTAAAGCAGCTTTGGTTCTGAAGAAGGATCACTGGACCCAAAATGTTAATTCAGCTTTCTTTCCATAGATGCTGCCAAGTCTGTTGAGTTTTTACAGCAATTTTGGTTTTTGTTTTTGATTTCCAGCATCTGAAGTTCTTTGTTTTCTTGTTTCATGTGAAGCAGCTTGCCTCACAGTAAAATTTAACTAGCTGGGGAAAGATGTCAATTAATTGACAACGAGAAGTTGAGACAGAGCAGGCTTATCACCCGTTCTGGTCTGATCTTCAGTCATGTCTACGTAAATGAGTTCATTTGTGATTGCTGGCATTGTTTGCAGTATTTTTTGCAGTGTATTTTGCTTTAATAAAGAATATTTGGTATATTACATTGTTAGAATTGCCTTGGCTTATTGATATCCAGAGTAAACTCAACAGACCAGAGAAAGTGGGAAGAAAAGTATACGTGTAGTGTATGAGCAGCATGGTATGGCATGAATTGGCATTAACTTGCATAGGAGTTCTCGAGGACCATGAGGTTGGGTGAAGATTGTCAGTTGGCATTGGACAGAATGTGGAACCGTGAGATGGTTAGAGGGCATATGTTGGCATGGACACTATAAAGGGCCATGGGGGTTGGATGGAGAACTGAGGTGGCAGAGCATGTCTGGCTGTGAGAACTGAGGGTTATTTTGTTTTTAAACTATCCTGGAGTACTGTGGCAAGCCTGACCGGTGTCTACAATCATCTTGTGGTCACACATCAGAAAGCCGCCCTCCACCGATCTAAACAAATAACCTCAACACCATACCCGCACCCATCTGATGTTGCAGTGTATTTTCTCAAATAGCAAATCTGAGCATCATAGAAACAACCCAACTCTAAAATCAGGCTGCTAAATATACAGTGGTCAAAGGAATTTATGGCCAAGGGGAATACAACAAGATTAGGAAAATGTCAAATGAAATAGGAAGGTAAAAGCCAAGTACAAAATTATCTTGAAATAATAAAAAATAAAAGTGTTCTAAAACACATAAATAAAAATAGGGAAATCAGAGTAGGGATACACTAAGAAATACATATAATAAATAGTTAATGACAGACATATTAAATAATTACTTTACCTCTGTATTTAGCAGAAAGATTAACATAGTGATATGACAATGGAACAGATCAAAAAAATGTGCAGTCATTTAAGACAGAAGAGAGAGAGATAATTGATAAACTAATCAAATTTAGAGAGACTAAATCCTCTGATCTGATGGACTGCATGTTAATAGAAGTTAGGGAAGAGATAGCAGAAACATTATTAGTTGCATTTTTAAAAAGTCATTAGAAAATGGAATAGTGCCAGAAGACTGGCAGACAGTTAATGTGATTCCTAAATATAAAAAAGGTAGAACTATTCCAGGCACTATGCACCAATTAATATAACGTCAAAAGTAAGAAATAAAATGGAACCCTCACTCACAAATAGAAAAATATCTACAAAGTGAAAATGCAATACAGTTGTCAGCAAAGATTCCAAAAGAGAAGGCAACACTCAGCTCCCTTTATTGAATTAGTTGGACAATTTTCAGAAGGCTTAGATAAAAGAAATGCATAGAGGTGACATTTTTGGATTCTCAAAAAGCCTTTGAAAATGTTTCACATGGTAGCCTCTTGACAAAGTTCAGAATATGTGGAGTCTGGGGACAAGCAGCAGAATGCATAGTAAGCTCTTTCTAAAACAGAAAAGACAGAGTTGGGGTAAAGATGTTTGCTCAGATTGGGAAAAGGTGAGATGTGATGTTTCACAAGGATCTGTAGTGGGGGACCATGTTGCTCACTATTTAAACAAATAAGTTGGTCTTAGAAAGTAAAGGTACATTTTAAAAGTTTGCAGATGGTACCAGATTATGATATATGTTTATTACAAGGAGGAGTCTTTTCTCCATCTTCTTTAATGTCTTCACATTCTTCTTAATGCGTAGTGGGAAAATTATTCAAATTGAGGCCAAACTGATGTTTTACAAAGGTGCACCATGCTTTTTTAGAAGGAACATTTGAGATGAATAACAGATGCAATCAAGAAGAATCCAGAAAAGTACACGAGGTTGAGAGGAATAAAAGGAGATGTTGATGCATTCACGAGAGAAGGATGGAAGGGGGCCAGAATGGAGCATGAACATGAACATAAACCTGTTGGAGCAAAAGGCCTGTTTTACTGATGCGTAGACAATGCATTCAAGAAATTTTAGAACATGATGAGTTCATTGTAACTAACAATACTGCTCTCCAATTCTTTCTTGAATTCATTTTAAGTGTCTGTTTTAATAGCTGTTCCTGGCAACTTATTACATTTTACAATTACAATATTACAATATCATCTTTTATTTTACAATTTCTATTGCTCATTCCGAAGTAATGACTGTGGTTTAAAATACAAATGGTTAAAAATTACACAATATGATAACAGCATCAAACATATTAACACATTCACGATAAGTTCCTTTGTTAGGGGTTAATAACTTATTAAATCAGCATAACAAATAAATTTCATATGAATGAATAAATATATTTATTCCTAACAATAATGCAATGTAAAATCAAATCAACCAGGCGCTTATTCATTGTCATTGTTTTGCTATTTCAGTCAAAGGCTGATTTTTGCAGATTCCCCTACACAGATAATATAACCAAAATGTCCACAAACTTCAACTGTAACAACAACATTGTACATTTTACACTGCTTTAATTCGGATGGCAGCAAAATCCTGATACCTTTTGTTTGGCTGCTAATCAAAAGGGATAATAAGAGGAATTAATACAGATAATAAAAATTTTCCACTTCCCATGTTACATACAGAGACCTAATCCATAATTTTGTTCATCATCAGAATTGTGCTAGAGATAATTCCAGTTTGTTTTGAGCACTGAATCATTAAAAAAAAAATACTTGTTTACAATCTAATAATTGACTTCAACTAACCAGTGACCCAATGGGTAAAGGCACCGTACCTTAACGCATAAAACTGTAGGCCAGGAGATGCTGGATTTGCTGCTCACTCAATTTATGCTGAATTAACAGTTTACCAAATGATGTGACATTGAGAGTGCTAAAATAAGCTTCAGTGCCTTGAGCTACATGAGAAAACTTACCCAAAGCTTCAACTTCTAAGCACTATCCAATAACCTCTACAGCAAAATTTACAGCAAGTGGAAAGTCAAGTGAAGAAAGGATCAGGTTGAGCAAGGACATTGCCTGGGATTAAATACTCCCTTTTTTTTATTCATTCAAAGGAGTTGCAGGCTAGGCTACCATTTATTGCCCATGCCTAACTGCCCAGAGGATAGTTAAGAGTCAACCATATTGCTGTGAATTTGGAGTCACATGTAAGTCAGACCTGGTAATCATGGCAGATATCCTTCTCTGAAGGACATTAGTCAATCAGCGGGCTTTTCCTGACAATCAACAATGGCTTCACAGTCATCATTAGATGCTCAATTCCAGATTTTTATTGAATTCAAATGTCACCGTCTGCCACACTGGAATTCAAGCCTGAACATCACCTAGGTCTCTGGATTAATAGTTTAGTGATAATATCAATGCTTCCCCTTCCTTACAGACTCATTCCCTAGACTCACATAGCGCTATGATAAAACAGATGAGAAAAACCATTCTACACATCTACACCCACCTTATAGAATTCTTGAAATTTAAGATATTCAGAAATAAATCTAATAATGGATTGAGGAGAACCTTCTTTACCTATACATTAGTGAGAACGAGGATTTTCCTACCACAGAGTAGCTGAGACCAACATTCTAGTCCTTTTCAAAGGCAACGATAGAGAAACACATGATGGAGAAAGGAATAGAGGACGATGATGAGATGATTACAATATGTAAGGTGAGAGAAGTTTAGTCCAGGATCTGCTCTAAATGGCCTGCAAATTCTATGTAATTGTAATGCACGCAAATTCACCATATTTATTACCGATGTAATTTAATAACTTTAATGAAAAACCATTTTTCTACCACAAAATTTGAAATTCAGCAAACAAGAAGTGTTAATATTTTTATAAAGTTAGGAAAAGCCCTCATGAAATCAAACAAATCTTGGACGCAGGTTGCGATTCCCAGCTCCACAAAACCCAGAGTAAAGAGGGT